GGATATAAGCCCCCCAGTGCGTCTTGTTTGAACGCAGCATAATGCAGTTCAGAGACTTCAGAGTTCCAATCTAGAATCGATTCAGAAATTCCAAGAATCGATTCACATTTTTCAGTCTTGCTGCAACGCTGTTTTCCATTTTTTTCTATGGCGTGAGTTCCGTCATGTCCCGCTTACATGGCACTTACACTTTATGCAGCAACCAGGAAATGACACCAGGAAATCCTCTTCACTCTGTCCGCTCTTCATGGCTCACAGGGCGGACTCCTGAGCTCCGTAATGTCCCTCTAACATGGCACTTTGACTTTATGCAGCATCCAGGGAAACACACCAGGAAATCCTCTTCACTCTGTCCGCTCTTCATGCCTCACAGGGCAGACTCCTGAGCTATTTTGAATCGCAAATCGTTCTGAATCGCAAATCGATTGTGAATCAAATCGTGACCCCTAGAAATCAAATCGTGAGATTTCCTGAATCGTGCACCCCTAATAAATGCATATGAAAATTGATATACTGTATGTGAAAATTAGAAGATGTTTTTGTTGCTGCCTTGAATGTGTTTTAAGTTGAACATCATTGGACACTCTGATGTATTGCCTGTTCATTACTGTTTCTCTGTTCTCAAAGTTACTTTGTGAAGGTCACATTGTTTGTCCATCTGAGCTTCCGCTCCTTCCATAATTATTCATATTTTTATCTGACAAAGCTGGTATATGAACATCTGAGGATGCAGTTTTCTTTCCTGCACCAAACTGCCATACCTAAGTCCCACTTTTTACATTTACAGCCTCTGCTTTTTTTCTATGGTTTGTAACACCCCACCCTTCTCCTCCCACTTCCCTCAGGTTTTGGTCTACTTTGGGTTGACTGTTCAATATGCTGATGCAGCTCTGTAGTATCAAGGTCAGTGCCCCCACAAACATGATCACCCTTCACCCTCTCCATTTGCCTGCACCACCCAGTTTCTCTTGGAGGATTTTTAAGGCAGGGTATTTCAGTATATTCTCTCATGCATTATATTGAAATATCATTGTGTAAATTCCAAGATAAAATCGAAGTGCATTGCATATTTATTATTGTATTTTTTCAAAACATATATATTGGTACAAACATTGCCTATCAGTAATGATTCTGGCTTTTTCTCAAATGTTCCTCTTGCACGGTAAAACAGGGAGGCCCATGAATTATATGCTGGGCAGTCATACACCTCTCTTCATTATCAACTGCATGTACAAATTGCCTCAGCATTTATCACAATCTGTCAAGGCTGACTGAGTTGTGCCCTGAAGCTCCTTTCCAACTAGAGCATTCTCTGATCAGATGAAAAACTCACATTTGGACTTGCTGGTAACAATGCTGCATTTTGAAGAGATCACAATATCCATGCTGAATAGATATAAAACCTTAGTTGTTCATCAGAATCAGAACCATAATTGTTCATTTATCCCAGGGGGTAACTAGGTTTTGTAACAGTTGCAACAATTAGAGCAAACATAAATAAATACATATATACAAATAAGAAATTGAAGTAAATATGCATAATAAAACTCATTGTAGCCACCTGGACACAGCATGGCACATCATTGAGGCAGGACGTCTTCCAATGCAAGGGGGCCTTCTATAGACTCAGGCATATATCAAATCAATCTTTATTTGTATAGCCCAATATCACAAAACTCGTTTGTCTCAGTGGGATTTACAGATTAAAAACAAATAACATTGTAAATGATGCAGTTACAAAAAAATGAAAAGACAAGATAGTGTATGTAATACAAATAGAAATACAAAGACAATCAGGGCCTAGACAATAAAAATACATAAAACATTCCAATTATTCAATTTAAGTACCATCAAAATCAAATCAAATGAATACCATAAAATGCGAGCTCTAACCAAAGGCTTTGTTAAACATGTAGGTCTTCAATGCACTTTTAAAAGTGTGGACACTCTCTGCCTCTCTGATTGAAACAGGGAGTTGGTTCCAGAGCAAGGGCGCTTAGTAGCTGAACACTCTGACTTCTGATCTTGTTTTGCAGACTCTGGGCACCACTAACAGACCTGCACCCTGGGAGCATAGTGTTCTAGCGGGGCAATAGTTGATACAAACATATTTTAGGTACGAAGGTGCCTGACCATTTAGCGCCTGGTAAGTTAAAATAAGTATTTTATAATCATTTATGTGCTTTACTGGCAGCCAGTGTAGAGCAGCTAAAATTGGAGTGATGTGCTCCATTTTTCTGGTTTTAGTGAGTATAAGGGTTGCAGCATTTTGTACCAGCTGAAGATTTTGAATGGATGTGGTGGGACAGCCAGATAGAAGGGAGTTACAGTCGAGAGCAGTGGTTCTCAACTGGTGGGTCGCGACCCAAAAGTGGGTCGCGGACCCGTTTCGAGTGGGTCGCGGATGTGTGATTGAAAAAAAATCAAACTTTAATTTTGAAGGCCCAATTTTCTAACGCTGTGCATGCAGTAGGCGTTGGACTGGAAGTGCCAGAGACCAGTAGTCACGTAGTGATCATCTTCTCAATAAAACATCTTTGCTGATGTTTTTTCGATTCTTCTGGCCAATCAGAATCAAGATTGTTGCCGGAAGTCCCCACAGAGAATAACTTTGCGGTAGAACTATTCTTTATACATCCATGGGTACAACTTCAGATCAAAATGAACAAATAATGAAATATGACCCCCGGTTTGATGATTGACAGGTCACAGAACAATGGGAGCTATCTACCCTTCCCCACAATTTAAAGTAATTCACACAGACTCTCTCCCCTTTGCTCAAGATCTTTTCTTCTCTTTGATGTTTTTTTTTTTTTTTAATTTTACTATATTTACTTGTTTGCCTGTCCTTGTTTGTCTACCCTCCCTCATATTGTAAAGCGTCTTTGAGTTGTGAAAAGCGCTATATAAAAAAAATGCATTATTATTATTATTTGCTCTTCTCTCTGTGAGGAGCAGCAAGCTGTCAGAACTAAGTGAAAAACAAACAATGGCATAAAATATTATTAATATGTCGGGTAGTAATACATTTATTTATTTTCTTCTCAGAGTGTACCAGAATGCGTAGTTTATGTTAGTATTTCTAAAAATCGATTTTTTTTGTTGAATAGATTTGAGTGCTTCAAAATGTTGGGTCGCAATTTATTGACCAAGTAAAAAGTGGGTCCCGAGGCCTGACCAGTTGAGAACCACTGGTCTAGAGGTAATGAATTAGTTTTTCTGCATCATTTTGAGTCAGTAAGTGTCTGATTTTTGTTATATTGCAGAGATGAAAGAAGGCAGTCCGTGAAACATGCTTTATGTGAGATTGGAAGGACAAATCTTCGTCAAAGACAATGCCAAGATTTTTGACTGTGGAGCTGGAGGTCTTGGAGGTCTTACCATCAATCATTCTTATGTCAATTGTGGCATAATTTCTGAATTGTTTGGGGCCAAGTAAAATGACTTTGGTTTTGTGTGTGTTTAAAAATAAGTAGTTGCAGGTCATCCATGGTTTTATATCTGACACGCATTCTTGTAGTTTAGATAATTTATACTATTCATAATTTTGCCTAATGGCAACATATGAACAAAATGATATGAGAACAAAATGGGTCCGAGGACAGATCCTTGCGGCACTCCATGATTGAGTGTGGTTTTTATTGACCATTCATCATGCTCCGATACAAACTGAAGCCGTTCTGAGAGATATGACCTAAACCAGTTTAATCCAGTACCCTTGGGAGACAGCAAGCGCATTTCGTGGCATCTGCGGGCAGTGGCAAGTACTTCCGGCATCTGCAACGGAGGCCGCTACTCCGTGGTATCTGTGGCAAGTATATGCCACAGATGCCACAACTTGCCGTGGCAAGTATATGCCACAACTTATATATGCCACAACTTGCCGTGGCAAGTATATGCCACAACTTGCCATGGCAAGTAAATGCCACAAGTTAAGAGTTAAGAGAAGGTTTACGGTAGCTGCCACTCGCCTTCCGTGGCAAATGCTGATATTTAAACCCGTATTTATCGCGTAAAATGTCGGTGTTTTGGCATGACTTTATCGGACTGATCTGTACACAAGACTGATGATCTGTTACTGATGGTCCGATCATATTTTTCAAAAAGATTAAACATTATATGTTCTATAGATTTTACTTGGAGAACGTGGTTTGTTAAAATAAATAAACGTGTTATTTTTATGATAATACTCAAGATATATTATTAGTAAGTTGACATAAAGATCTAACATTGTTGACCAGAGGTGGGAAATAGGCTAACTTGTATACTCAAGTACTGTACTTGTGATTTAGAAATAGCCTACTTGTACTTTAGTTGAGTATGTAAATGGTATGTTACGTAGTAGGCTACTTACCCCACTACAATTCAGAGGTAAATTGTGTAATTGTAGCCTACTCCCCTACATTTATTTAATACGCTACCTTTAGTTACTTACTACAGATTCTAATTAATGATGATACATATAATCAAGTCTTAAATCAGACTTTATAGTTACTCCTGGAGTAAATTCACAAGATACCCTACTACAGTATACAAAGTCATTAAAACTAGCTGCACCTTTACCAGCTTTGAGAACACTTTCATGATCAATCATTATAATGAAAACATGTAATATG